TTAGTGTACTAATATTGTCTAATTCAAATACTAGATACTTTGTTGACAAGGCACAGTAAAGAATCACAGTAAAATTACAACATCGTTTACAAAATATAACTCTGAAGATACTCGATCAACTCCTCGCCCGATGCGAATCTTGAAAAGAGGTCAACTATTCACTATTCCAACAAAGAGAATAGAAAGGAGGAGACAGGGAGAACAACAGTTTATGTTGGCGACACTGGTTCACTCCCGCCATAATTCTCCGCCAATCTGTGATATATTCCCTCCAAAGCGCCGGTCCGCAGTCGCATTGCCTTGACTCAGATATCATTACGCTCATGATCTATCCCAGTCAGTGATTGTAAATCAGTAGTTATTTCGCGGGTGTCGTTTATAGTGGTAGTAACTGTGGATTTATTGGTAGCTACGGTGACATGTGGAATGGCCACCGCAGCGCTGGGTGTCGGGTGGCAATCAGAACTGGGTTGTCGGGTCCACGTGCCAGACATGGGCTTTGGATTTGGAATTAGCATATGTCAATATCCTTCGAAGATTTTCAGAAGTTAACATGAAATATGTTGCTGACGTGAGCCATGAGTTGAAAGGTAACGGAGTTTTTCGACGTATTTTTATGCATTCCTATGATTGAATTCAGAATAGCTATGACGAAAACTTAATCGAAACCACAACTTGGAAAATGTTTAAGACTCGCAGATGTATTGCCTAAAAGGTTTCAATTGTTTGAAGTGAGTGATGGAATCAAGAGTAATTTATATGGTGACTGTGTTCCCATGTGTTTCTCTAATCGGATTTATAATAGCTACGGAGACCAAATTGAAGTCGCCAAGCAGATTCAACTCAAGAACTTTTTGAAACGTGATTAGGCTTTGACTGCACTTGTATCGCAATGATACTAATAAAGATCAATGTACGTTATGTAGTTTGTGTTGTGACAGCAAATGGGAAATTCAAATCTAATGTTTTGAGAAATGGACATTTTAATCAAATTCATATCTCCAAGTATAGTTCAATAATATACTCCTAACAATAATGTTCATTGAGTGAATGAGTTCAAACTCCAACTCCAAGGACTTGTTATATATCGTGTGAGTTATGTAAGCTAGACGTTGATCAGTTTTACACATTGGCAATATGCCAACCAAATCTTAAATGCCGGGTTGCCCCTTAAGTGAATTCTGCATAAATAACAAGTGAGCAAACGGATGATCAACCGTAGAGAGATAGGAAGGATAATATCAAGAGATCAAGATTAAGTTATGAAAAATTGCATTAATAACATAGTTTTAGTAATGCATACCAATTTTGCATGACGGCATGTTTTTTTATTGTAAATTTTCTCTGCCCTGCTAGATCTCGGATGACTTTGGCACTAAATAAATCGCTTGGCTCTTTTTTATAAAACCGTGCAGGCTGGAAGCTCCAGAAAACCTTGAACTCAGTAGATCAACGCCAGCCAATGATATACGCTTGGAAGTGTCTACAAACAAACTCGCAACACAATCCATCAGAGAATAAAGCATATCCAATGCATCAACCTAGGTACACACACAATAGATCTACGAGGATAGGGGCGCTTGGCCCTCCCACTTGATCATTAACATACAAATCACTATGGTGTTTTATGGGGACAGGTACTCACTCTGGTGGGGCGATAGTACGGTCTGGGCGCAAGTCTAGACCAGCCAAGTCACCTCTTGGACAAATCAAGAGGGGAAATTAGCCATAGTAGGAATCTGTCGGGTTTCTTTAACAAATTTCCACAAGGTTAAGTTGTGATTTGCCCATGGCATTTTATAGAGACAGACACTAATTGGCGGTAGAACGATCTGGACACAAGTCTAGACTAGTATAGTCACCTCTTGGACAGATGAAGGGGGGAGTTTAGCCATAGTGGGAATCTAGAGTTTTTTTTTTCTTTCAATAAATTGACACTATTGTGGTGATATGTTAATTGAGCCTGAAATTTTATAGGGACAGGCACACTAAGGCTGGGGATTTGTTCACATCCTAGGACGCTAGGATCCAGCCCGGAACTGTTTTACTCATTACTGTAGGCTAGACCCAGAGGGTGAGGGTCGTGGCATTATTACATATATACCTTCATTTGTGATAGGCGGGATTTGAACCCGGGACCTTGGGTTCCAAAGCCCCGAGCTCCACCACTAGACCAGTTCGCTTCCCGGTTGGTGGTAGAACCATAGATAAGGAGTATAGACAAAAAGAATTCATTGTCTACTCCTTTTATCTATGGTAGAACTGTCTGAACGCAAAATGAACATACGAAGGATAAAGATAAGAGATTGTGAAAATAGTTGTATAAGCTCGTGCTGTAAGGAGCGTTCCTAGTTCAAGGAACAATTAATTCATTAACTTGATAACGAAGATCGTGGTGTATGGTGTGTTTTGGCTTAACGTATATTCAGTGGTGGTTCCAAGGAGGTCCACCCCTTTCTCCCATTAGACCCTGGAAAATAAATAAAAAGTACATTTAGTCCTAAAACATATAAGAGGTCTTTGGACACCATTCCTATGTTTTCAAACAACCAACCTTAACTGCATTGCAAATAATTTTGTTAGTAATTGTGATTTATCTAGAATAGCTAAAAGCATATCCTTCAACCAATAGACATACCAAATTGGCACACGTCAAAACGTCACTATATATCCAAAGGTCCCCTATGACCCTTGGCGCCTACTCGCGACACTAGCGACTCTAGCGGCGCCGTTGGCAGTCGTAAGTTTAATATATTGCCTGTATCTGGGTCGAACCGAAGGCTATAAGGCTTTATGTCTATGACAAACTACAGTATCGCATTTTCTGCTTACTACATTCATTCTCAGCCGCCGTAATACACGAGCAATGACACTTCCAATCGAACGCTGTTTAGACATTGTCTACTCCACTCTAGATTATACTGTACTAAGTCAAGTCTAATCAAAACCTGTAAGACACTTTTACTTGGCTTCGCGATATGTATCTAGTTGAACAAAACACAGCAGCGATTTTGTACAGGGTGGATAAAACACCCCCTATCTAATACTTTTCATAGCAAATATGCAGAGATATCCTTTTCGTGGTCGTCTAATCTTAGCAGGAAGTTTCATTTTATGATTTTAAAATGTTTGAGATTTTGGGGGCAACACAAATTTTTTAAAATACACCCGATTCAAGTGACACCTCATTTTGAAGTGTTTACAAAAACTTAAAGAAAGTTGAAAACCAGGGTTCGCTACCTCTTCTGTGTCCAAAATGGTAGCCCGTCAAATGTTTCAACGTCTACAGATAAAAAGATAAGAAAAATCAATGTAATGGTAAATTTAGCTACCATTTTGGATAGAGACGAGATAGCGAACCCTAGTTTTCACCATTCTTAATGATTTTGTAGGCTATACACTTTGAGGTGTAACGTGAAGAGGTTTTACATTTAACAACTTTGAGTTGCCAAAAAATGCCCCATTCTTGGGGGACACTCAAAATTTTCAAAATCATAAAATGAAACTTCTTGCTAAGATTGCACGACCACCAAAAGGATATCTCTGTATATTTACTTAAAAAGTATAAGATGGGGTGTCTTGACTTTTTATTCACCCTATATATTTGGCCTTTAGATATACACCTACTCAAGTCTTATAAAATGCTGTAGAGACACTGTCTACTTGCATTCTTGATGAATATGAAGTCTAAGCAGACATAATTAGAGGCTCTTCTAACACTGGAATAAGAGACACAGAAAGTCAGGTTTGATCGAATTCTGCACTATCACTCTTGACTTGGGGTTTTTTATATGCATCAAGGGTAACCAAATTGTAGCTAAGACTCTGTTTACTTTGGGCTTAGGTTACGTTTGACTACCTCTACCATAATCTGAACTTTGTCAAAACCTGAAAATAGTATAAATATACTGTAGGCCTACGGTGAAAATATTATCAACAAATTTGTTATTTTAATAGTTTATTGACTATGAAACACTTTTCAACCAACATTTACAACATCTTTACTCCCCCAACCTTTCAGACATTTTAACCGCATCGGAGGAGTGGAGGTATGCGAGGATGGTTCGACCTTTGGTTGATATTTACAAATAAGTAGTGTGTACAATTAGTGGGCTGTCGATAGCACCACCATAACCATACAGTACCCCATTACACCATTATTACCCACCTAGACCACTTAGCGGCCGATTGAGCCATCCAGGTGGGGGAAACTTCATAAACCGGGAATATGGCGGGTGTAAACGGACATTAGTTGGGGATAAGTGCAGAAAATAAAATGCACTTAAGTGACCAGTGAATCGATAAATGCATTACGCTTGGTTAGGGATTGGATTCAAAATTGCATAGAAGGTTTTGCATGTGGCATGACTTAAGTTGTGATTACAAAATCAATAGGTTGTCTTATTTAATTTTACCCACAATGAGCTTTTAGCCATGTTTACTATACTTTTTCTATGTCCCACCTTCACATCCTTACTAGCACGGAACTGTTTTACAAATTACTTCAGGCTAGTTCTATATGGTTACGGCAATATCACATAGGTAAAATCCTTGGTGATTGGCGTGATTTGAACCCAAGACCTCGGGCTCTGAATCCCCAAGCTCTAACACCATTCCGGCTCGCTCCCCGATGTTTAAAGTACTGGAAGCCGTAAATGCAGTGTTCAGAGTAAGCTATGGGTTCACATTTGTTTAAATGGTCACGTCTCTCAAACAATAAGGACCTCCTTCAGCTTTGAGAACTCTATAACTGGTACATACAGGAGCCTATTATCGTGTATAGTAGATGTTTCAATTCAGAAAAGAGCATTTTTTAAATTTCTACGTATATATTGTTAAATATGAAAATCTATACAGACACAATGTTATGTGTGGGGTTAAGACTGACAGAATGTTTTATTCTAGAAATACTCAACAAGAACTAAGATGGTTAAACTAACACAAATGCCAAATGTCATACTGTTTTCATAACTTTTCTGACAAACTACACTCTGTTTCAGTGGGGAGTTCCATCTGGGGTTCCAGAGGTCGGAGCTACAAGGAGCGTCTTGGTACCAATTTTTACATTGGGACTGTATGAGAGAGGCGCAGAGCAAACACAGACTAAGTGAGTATATTCCTGCTACTTATTCCTTCGAATATAATTTATTTTTATATAAATAATGCTGGAATACGAAAACGCAAACGATTCAGATACAGTTTATAATGTTTTGAAGGGGTTCGGATGGTTATAGTCTGTATTATGGAACCTCTCTCCTGGCCGTTCTACTTGAAGACTGGCCAATGGTTTAAGGCCCAGGCCAGTCCTAAGTAGATGAGAGCCAGGAGACAGGGTCTATCATACAGACTATAATACTAGTGGTTTAAGCCATGTACTTGTTTCCTGTAGTATATGGTATGAATATCAACAATCGCAAATGTCTTTTGATAATGCTTTGATGGTGGTCCTTAGCTCAAGTTAAACCGTAGGTTCACCAATCAAGAAAATTGATTGTATATTTCAAGAGATGTACTTTCCATATACTGAGGAAATCTCTCCACGAGAGCTTATATAAAAACTCTGAGGGCTTCTGGGATATGATTACTTTATCATCCGGTCCTAATGAATATTTTTTATTACTATTACATCCGTAAAGTACATTACAGTCAGAAGTATTGAAGAAATCCAAGTTAGATAGAAGCTTGAGTCTGAAAAAGGGAATAATTTAACATCTTTCTTTCACGTAATCACATTTCCTGTTGGAAAATAAGAGGAAACCTCAAAATTAGGAAATTCAAAATTAGTTTTATAGTATTTTATCTAACAGGCTTCAGCACTCAAAAACTCAACGCGAGTTACGTTCCTGGTAGAAACTCCCTGGATGGAAAAGAGCGGGAGGCTACTTTTGTAACTGTACTTTTGAGTTATTCGTGAAGGTTTTAAATGAGGGAATATTCCATATTGCATATCCCCTTGCCTTCCGTTGCATTATCCACCTATAAGGAAACTGGCTAATACATAGCACATCAGTAGGCACTCCATCTTCGGCGTTCTATCTGTCTAAAATGGGCCAATCTGGGGGAAAGTTGATCTAAAATAATAACGGTCGTATGTTCACGCTATGTATTGATTTCCGCTTTCTTTTAATAAGATTCTCGCATATTATATTTAAGGTATGCCTTGATTGTTCTGTTATCATAAGAATGTTTGACATGCGTTTACATTTGCGTAGGTACGTTGTAAATCGTTGAAAGAACATGTATTTTAGGCCGGTGATAACTTATATGGATTTTAAGCTGAGATTTGAAGATGGAATATAAAAACAATTAACTCTAAACTTTTTCAAATGCCGAAATTCCCAGTATTCCTTTCGGTCCTAATAATATAGTATCTTTAAAAAGAAGTCTTCAGTAAAACAAGTTGTAGGCTTAGTAGGCTATTCATTTGCCATAATAAAGGGCATTTAAAATGCCAATATTCTCAAAACATTAAATACATTTGCGTTATAGAGTAATTTGTTTTTACAATGTTACATGTCAAAAAAATATTTACTTGGAAAAACTACGTTCGTTTTGTATGGTTTCGATAAGACACAAGTATTTAATCTGTGCTATTAGTATTGTCAATAAAAATCTCAGAGTCAAGTAATATCGGTCTGACTTTCCAAAAGGACACCAAGCATATGGAACCTTGACGAAAACTTTATGTAAGCCAACTCAATTATCCATAACCGTTCAAAATAAACAAACATAGTGGATAAACGGCTCGGCTAGGAATTCCAAAAATGGTAATGGATATTGGCGATTGAATTTGGGGGAATTTAGGGGAGATCTGATCGTCTATCAGCTGATCCAAGGACGGGCAATATGGCGATCAAAGACCGAGTAGGCCCCCCAGGCTGATAATCCCCCCTCAATTGGGGTCCGAACACTGTAATTTTACAATTAGTAACAAGGGGTCGGACAGTGGACGGTTACGTAAGTCTACGTGTTCATTAAGACGTGCAATTAAAATAGAATTAAATCCTAATAGATATAAATACGTCATTGATCACATGAGATTGCGATCCACGCAAAAGGAAACCCCGGATCAAAGTTTAAGTAATTTTAGCGACTAGGGAGAAATTTCAACGTAAAATTATTAAGGAGCGTAATTTAATGTAATTTTCGTTAAACGATGAGTATAGTTTAGTGTTTCGGGAACTTTCTTACGAATTTGTGTTAATTTGTGAGATGGGAATTGATGAATGGAAATTGGTCATTTTATTTACTAGTAGGCCTAGGTTTGTTTGTAAATGATTATTCATTATATATTTTGTTAGAAATAGTATATCATTACCTTACTTAACTCGTTATGGTGACTTAAGTTTGACCACAGAAAGAGTGAATAAGTATTTGTACAACTCATTTCCTTATCTATGATTTGACATAATCCTCGAGATGTCACTATGAAACTATTCATATTTACAGAGATTTTTCGTCTCAACTACCTTTAGAGTTTGTGTGATATAAATTCAAACATCGACTAATTAGAAGTGTTTCCAGACTTATTTCTCTGGGAGGCATTCATTTATGACTTCGCGGTACTCAAATTCAAAATTTTCGGCCACATCAAAATTAATTTTAAGTAATCCTATCACACGTAGTTAAAATCGTACAAACTCACATTGAGTCATATATTTCTTTAAGTTCAGATAGCATTATCTAAACCGGGCGAAATTCCTCAAAACTGAACTTAGCAAAAGGTCGCCGGATCGTTTAGTCCTAAACATTCGACATTCCAGTCCAGACCTATGGCCGTGATAAATCGCGATTTTCCCTCCGACTCATTTCCCCAAATTACCGATGTTCGAATCTCGATATCGGGAAATCTCGCAATCGACGATAAGTCAGCCGGACAGAGCGGTAAGCGGTATTAGAGCCGGTACTTTATGCCTCACTAATATGGCAGTACACGGCCGCTCGTACTTCTTCAGTCTCCCGCCGTATTCGATGCCATCTCAATAACGCGAACAGCTGTTTATAAATAACACCTGTGACTGATTGGTTTACGGCACAATGTGGCCAGTATACTTTATTACCAGTTATATATAGCATAATAACCCTACAAAAGGGTATTCCCCTTCTATCGGTCCCACGCTGAGATCGTATTTCCAACTTTTTACGACAAGTTTGTACGCACAAGCGTTCTGGATTAAGTAATACCCGGTTTGATTCGTTTTACGATTTTGTGTAGCGCTCACCGCATATCAGCTGGTCACTGACGACAAGATGTTGATGGCCGTCGTTATGTTTATGGCGCAACTGGATCAGGGTATCAATATGTCGAGTTATGTTGCGGTTTCTAGTAAATGTCAGTATTTAAAGTTCAGTAACAATTTTCAACGAATGACTCGTTCAATTTTACTGGCTAGTTGTACGTATATTTATTTCCATTACATAACCGGTATAATATACTACAGTGAAGGAAACATCTTAACAAAATTTAAACGTATTCCTCTATATAATCTCCTCAATATCTCGATCATTCCTTTAAAACGCGTAAATGAAAGCCAACATATTGAAGGCACTCAATTGCAATTAACATCTTCGATATTGGAACACGGTAGAACCTTCTGATGGCTATGTACGCAATATTTTAATAAAGTATTGCATTTTCTTTGGGTTATACTACATGATTGGGTCTTGACCGATGTACTTGGTTGCAGTCACTCAGTCCGAGCAAGACCGTTCTTGTATTCTACTGCTGCGGATACAGAGAAGAACGGGGGACTGGCTCTGGGTCCACTGTGTGCTTCAAGTCAAAGACAACATGGAGAATAGTCAACAACCTGTCATAGTCTGCACGAATCAAGTCCTTAGGTGAGTTGATCATTTCATGTGTCTGAATTTACTGTAGGGAATCCTGGCTGATCTAGAAACTGTTTACCGGTAGTTTAAATAAGAAACCGGTTTAAGAAGACAAAGAAGAATTAGAATAAGGACTATCATGAGTATTGCGATTGCTCTAAAGGTGACTGACATAGTCCATTTTACTTGATGTTCTAGTCACTAGTCACATACGTTATAACTCGGAATCGAACCCAGCATAAAGAAACAAGTACACGTACAGGTAGAAACGAGCTCGGAACTGATGGATCTAGCCTTCGATAATATCTGCAAATTATTGACTACCAAACGTTTATGGGATTGTAGCCAGGGTAAACATTCCTAAATTCCTCTTTTTCTCTTTCAATCGTTATCGATTGAGCAGATACTAACTCCGAGTTATGATTTGACTCCACTAATTTCGCAATCATAACTTGTTCTTGACCTCTCCGTTATCTCGGTGCTATCGTTCCATCTGCATCGCCCCCCTCCTTCTTCCCTTGACCTTTGAGTTCTTCTTGTTTGTCTTGTTTATTCTCTAATTGGACTTGTTTATCTCCTAGGAAAACCGATCGTTCCCTTAATCGCTGCTGGATTTCATTTGATTATGAGTCATCGTGTGGTAAAGCCGAGGATGGTACAGCTGGAAAAAAGTGCATTCCAACAAGATAATTTGCAATACTAATATGAAACATTTAAATCGACTGTGTGAAATTTTTATAATCCGACACCTTGGCAATTTCCAAAGTCAACGCTAGTCAATTTCGGAATCACAAATTTAGCAGCCAATTTATTTCCTATCAACAAATGCATTATTAGGTCATGCGGCAATGTTACAGAACTTGATTTTTTCATCAGCGTTGCAAAATGTATGAGCTAGTATCTCTTGGATTGTGTATCTATAGGAGTGGCTTTGCGAAATTCTTCTGGGTGTTTTACTTAACTCAGCGAAGATTGCAAACAATTTAAAAGAGGTTGAGATCACACAACTTGCTCCTGTATAAAAATTATACATTTTTGTTTACGAAACGTAAAGCCCTTGAACCTGAAGAGGATGCTTGTTAAATACAGACTGAGAGAGTTGCATTGCTAGTGAGGCCTCGGACATCGGACTTCAATGCAGAAGGGATTGTTTTATAAGGCATATTCATAAAATGTGAGTGGGGTTCTCTTAGAAGCATTGTTTTAGATACTCTCTGCGTACCTTGGAGTATAACTAGCTTTCAGAAAAGACAAATCAGTTTCTTTCCTGACTGCCAGTCAGAACGATGATGCTCTCGGATTGCTTGGTCAATGTCACGTGTCCAGTTGTGATTACAGATGTGGTCATGACCAGTTAACCGGGTCCGCCACCGCACGACCGTCACGTCACCGCGTGCCGCGCCGTAGCAGCAATCCTGCGTACTCACCCAACCCCTCGTACTACTGAAGATTAATTACTTGAGTCTGTGGTGTCAAGCCCCTTTAAATTGGTTGGAATCAAAATACTTTAGGGGGTTAGGAGGTTTTGGACGTTTCGTTGTTGAAGTTTGTGATTACTCGAGGCCAAAGGGTTTTTAAATGTCTTTAAATGATGAAACAAAGTCGTGATATACTCATGTTTTTACAAAACTATAGTAACCCCGTCGTACTGTCAAAATGGACATAAAAGATTCTGTCGTAAGACAAAACTGCATTTCTAACATGCTAATCACTGGCCACTTGTTAACTAATTCTTATTTCATTACTCACACTCTTATTTCATAAATGTTCAATGAGAGATTGCTATAGTTCTCGATTTTGGAGTAAAAGTTCTCATTGATTACTGACAAATTCTGCAAGCTTTAAATCTATATTATAATCAATCTTCCAAACGTCTTGCAATGAAAAGACTTTCCATCCTGATGTTTACCCCACATTAATCTATTCCAAGCCTCTCCTACACCCGCTAGTCGATGTTGCCACCTTGGTGCGGCGAATGTTCTATTCAGCCAGCCGTTATCACCTTGTAGGGCAGCGGAGGTGGCTTACCTCCATCTATCGTCAACTGTCCAATTACTGTTGATAACGGCACCTGGACCGTCCAAGACGCATCCTTCCTCTGATAACCTCCGCAGCTGTCTGTATCCAGCAATCGTAGAGGTTGAAAGTGGTCTGCAGAGAAACTCGGATTGGTTGTCTTTGAATGCTAGATTAGTCTGCTCAAAATTTGAGTTAGCACTGTTTACAGTTTGTAACAAAGGTAGAACAAGGCCTTTCACATTGGGTTCCGTAGCCTCAACGGGGGAAAAAACGGTCCTGTTTCCAATTAGAAGCCTTGAAATAACTGTTTTGATAATTTCTATTAGTCGTTTATTTTCACTGGTGATAATTAGTGCTACTAAAAATGAAGACTGTTGAAATTACTCGTTGTTATTGGCCACCAGAGCTGTTTATAATGGGAGACGGAGGTCGTCCCATAATCCTACCCGGGTATTGTTGAAGCTAATCGCCTGATTTATGGCCTTTCCTGGCAGTTGAGGGGTAGCAAGCGCTAGAGTGGTGGTAGAGCGAGATAGAAGATGGAGTTTGTTGCCCCCAGCGACACCGGACGTCTGACGTTCCCAGAAGGATAGGGTTGACATTACAACAATTCGACGCAAGAATTTGAATGGACTTCCGTTAACAAATAATGCAATGAAGGGAATCAGTGTTTAGTACTAGGAAAGGTAAAGGAAATATAAGTGATTAGCGTACAAGGATTTAATTTGCTATTTCTTAGATATTCCTTACGTAGGGTCACTCGGGTCACTTTGCAGGGAAGTAACTGCGAGAGTGTGATTGACCTCAATTGCAACCTAACAATTGTTTTGATTTTACGTGGTAGCCTCATAAGCGAACATCTTTAACACAAAAACTAAGGCAACGCTGGTGATACAACTATTGGTCATAGTTTATTTCGTTGAGTCGTAAATTAAGACTTATTGAAAGATTTGTCTATACAAAATAATAAAATCACAGTTTTGTACGATATTGAACAAGTTTTATTAAAATCTTTACTGCAAACGTCACATTCCAAATACCAATTGTGTGACGAGAAAATGCGTCATCTAACCAGTACTCCTAATGATGTTGATGAAAATATATTTCTGGTCATTTATGATCTAGTAGTGACTTTGTTATAACAATTCTGTCGAACTATAGGGTGTTAAGTAACTCTCTACCAACCTTTTAGAATATAATTTCTCGGTTAAAAACAAATGTATAAATACAGTATCACATTTAAAGCACCTGTAAATCAATGGTTACACACAGAGCCACCATTTTGTTTTTTTTATATCCATGTTACTTAAAATTTTAAATTGTAAATAAATGTTAATGCTAGTATAATTAGTTTTTGCAAGGATATATTACAATTTATAAATGTAAAATTTAATATGGCAGCCATTTAAACATTTTTAACAGTAGTAACGTTATACCAGTAAATCTTAAAATAAACACAAGAATGCTTTTTACTGTAAATTCTGACACAAACGTAATGACACATCGACGTAGAAAATCCAATTAAAAATGACCGAGATATGGCATTTTTGTGGTCTGTGTCTAAAAAACTATGATAGTGCGTGTGGTATAAGTACTTGTCTGCAACTATGTGACCAACAAACCAATATGATAGAATCATGAGAACTAAATATATACTACGCGACACAAAAACAGTCATACCAGTGTTATTTTTTATCAGGTTTTCTATCTTTATATGTTATTGCGTTTGTCTTGAAGGTAATAAGGTACTAGTGGAACCCCGTCGAAATCGACGGTTAATCTTGAGGTTTTATGTAAATTTAGCTAACTGCGTTGGATAGAGTGAAGTCATTAAAATCTTAGTTATATGAAGGGACGATAAGCAATAATAAGTATGACGATTGTGTTCCCTAAAAAACGTGATTGATGAATTCGTTTAACACAATATTTCCTACCTTTCTTTTTATCGGCTTTAGGTTGCCTAAAAGGTTTTTTAGGAGTCTTATAATTGTTTCTTCATGAGTTTGTTTCATACCAAAGCCACTTTCACTATATGGGAGAATGAGTTCATAATTAGTCTATCATGTTACGGAAAGAGTCAATATTTATTACTGACCATTAATTCAATCTGCTTTAGGAAAATCATTCAGATTGTATCCGGATTTATAAGTAAATCTTCATCACTTTTTTTTATGAAAATATCTGATTCTCCAGAAAGCAGTAACATTCTTACTTCGATCTCAGCAATTTTAAATCCTTCTCTTGCCACATCGACCTATGTATTTAATTATCCTGTTCTTACTTGATAGTTCATTAGCTTATGGGGTAGTTTTGCCTTGGCCATATAGATCACATAAAGCTGTGCATGTATTTCGTGGATACGAATGAACCATAATTGTAAGAAATTTTATCACAAATCTTGAACATTTGCGGAACCAAATCCATAACCTAGTCCAGCATTGGTAACACATTATGCAAATGCGATGAGATGTGATGACACTGTTGTGTTTCCGAATGTTTTGTATGTAGTGAGGTTTAGATGCGTTGTTCAACCTAGCTACATGTGTACATCAAAGTAAAAACTGTGTACACATTTTTTTTTAATACCTAAATTGACATAGTTCATCTACTTTATCAAAACCATAGACTCCGTAGTTAGTCTATTCCAAAACTTGATCACAGCTCTCATCCTCATCCTACTCATCTATGATACAATTTTCAACCCGATTATCAAAAACTGTTATACCTACCAATAAATTAATCTCAGGCGTTCTTTCTTGAATTTAAAAATAAATGGTGATTGAAAGTAGGAAAAAAAGGCAAGTACCAACCTTACAATATGCATAAGCTAACCCGATAAGGAATAGTTATATGTTCCTTTGAAATTTATAAGTCACACTTATTTCATAATTTAAAATTTTCTAAGAGCAATAAAGCATTGATTTTTGAACAAAACATTTCAAACGTATCATAAATTCATCATTTTGTTGAAGCTATAAAAAACTTGCCATGCA